GTGCTTTATTTACGTTGTATATGTGATTTCCTTGTTTTATGTATTTATTGTGTGATCTTTTTATGTACAACTTGAGTTGAGAATACTATGGAAACAATCTCTCTAATTTTAGGTAGGGACAAGGTCTATGTACATACACCCTCCCAAGACCCTACTTTGTCGGATCCAATTGGGTTTTGTTGGTTTGTTTGTTTGTGTTGTTCATGGATGGCAATTTACTCCACTCTTAAAAGATGGTGATGAGCAAACCTTCCACATTAAAGGGTGGAATAGAGGATGTAAATGAATGTTATTCTTTATGTTTGATTTACCTTTTTCAATTTCTTTTTTTTACTTTCATTTTTCATTTATCTAAAAAAAACTTTTATTTTTAATTAAAATTTCACTTTTATCTTACTAATTATTAACTTATCTAACATATCATATTTATTCACTACTCGTATTAATCTACTCATCATATCTCATACTATTTTATATATTTTATAATAAACATAAGCTAAAAATATCGACTGGAATGATGAAGAATTTCTTTTTCTTCTTTTCTTTTGGGTAAAGATGATGAAGATTTTCAGGTCTACGTGGTGTGCATCTTTGTCAATTTGTTTAGTTTTTAGGTGTGCGTTGATATCATTGATGAAGGCTTTCACATGTGTCAAATTTGTCATATATGATAGTCGGTATTATCAACATATTTTCTTATATACTACGTTTGTCTTGATATATTCATTCATTTTGATTTTTTCAAGTTAAATTAGACTAATTTTAAATTCAATTAAATAAAAACTACAATATTAGTGTTAAAATACTTTTATTATTGTAGTTTTACTAAAATACAATATTAGTATAATAAACTAATATCAATATTATACTTTTATATTAGTGTTTATAGGGAGTATTTTTTATCCTATGGGGAATTTCCAAAATTTTATTTTATTCCCTATATTAATATTCAATAAAAATTTGGTATTATTGATAATTAGAGATCATCCAATTTGATTCAAAAAAGTCAAAATAAACTAATAAACTAGGATAGAGAGATTTTTCGCTAATACTTACTCTCCCTATTTCTAATTAAAATTAACTAATCATTGAGAGATGTCAAAAGTTTAATACTCTCACCGACACAATTTAGATTGTCTGTTTATTATTCACATAGTCAAATCTTATTCATTTTCTTTTCTTATTTTCATTAGTTATTTGTTAAAATAATAGTCATGTCACCACTAATTTTGTAAATCTTTTGATGTACTCCCTCCGTCCCACAAAATGTTTCTGGTTTTGATTTTTAAAGGTTTTAAGAGAAGTGTATTCTGGTGTTGACTTTCCAAAAATTCTCTTGAATATGATGAGTAAAAATATGATATGATGGGTAGATTAATAATAAAAAAGTGTGATGTGATAAGTAGGTTAATAACTAGTAAGGGTAAAAGTGACTTTTTAATAGAAATAAGAAAGGTTTTTGGAACGGATGAAAAAAGAAAAGAGAAAGGTTTTGTGGGACGGAGGGAGTAGTTTTTAAATATGTATTTTTTTTACTTCTACATAATTTTTTGTATAAAATAATCTGAAAATAACTTTGGTCAGACATCTTAAGTCAAAATAATTGATTTAAATTGGGACGGAGGGAGTAATATATTATCCAAAATAAACTTGATTGGTTGCTCCAGATCTATTCGACCACTTATTTCTAATGTCAATATGTACGGCTCGTGAAGCCTTACAAAACCATCACTCAAGTTTATCATTGTTATTAGTGTTCAAAAAAAATTTTGAGTGCTAGATTTGTAAGCCTTCCCGAGGCGTACACATTGACATTAATTAGAAATGAGAGGTCGAATAAAATTAGAGCAGCCGGGAAGAGCTCTAATAATAATAGCCTAATCTTGTAGAAAACGACGGAGTAGCAAGGATTTTAAGCCTTAGAGAGTAAGTGTTGAAATATTGGAATAATAATAATATTGCTCCTTGAATTATGAAGTACATGATAGAGTATATATAGAAGAGACTTCTAACACAACTAGGAATATATAATGGAGACTAACTAAAATACAACATCTAACACAAATAGGAATAGGAAGCTGACTAATAATCAAACACTACCATAACCAATACTACCAGAAGTAATATTAGTATTATTGTCTAACATCCCCCCTCAAACTGAACTCTGGCTAAAGCAAGAGGAAGCTTGGACACTAGCTGAAAACCAGAAACTTTGAGAAGAGATAAATCTGACGTGTGCTGGTAGCTGCTGACGTCTTTGAAGAAGAGAGTGACGTGTGCTAAATAGGAATAGGAAGCTGACTAATAATCAAACACTACCATAACCAATACTATCAGAAGTAATATTAGTATTATTGTCTAACAGTAAGAGATCAAGGGCATGTGTTGCCAGATCACAAAATTGTACTCCCTCTCTACCAAATTGTTTATAATGTTAATATCATTTTTTAAAAATTGTTTTATTTACAAATTGGTAGAGACATAAAAATACAAATTGCACAGTCCAAAAGCACATTAAAAGTTCTACAAAATAAGATGTGACAAAAAATACTTTAATTTATCAAATGGTCAACGAAAACAAGTAATTAAACCAACAAAAGTTATTTAGATGCCGAAATAGTAATTGTTATATTCTTATAGGACGGAGAGAGTATTTTACAAGTCTTACAACTTACAAGGAAATGAGTGTTATTCGAATGACTCGTGTTGTAGTGTGCTCTAATAACCAACCGAGCTACGAAAACACCAATTGTTAAGAATAGACCTGGAAAATTTTGACTCGACCCATTATTAATCTGAAACCCAACCCGAAATTAACGGGTTCTGAACATTGATTTTGTGACCCGAACCCGAAGACCCGTTAAATTTTCGGGTTAGAACGAGTCGGGTCGGGTTTGACCCAACGGGTTATGCACTTAATTGCTTATTTTTATTCGTTAATTAGTTTTACATATTCATTTAAAATATGATATACCCATTAGGCTACTCAAAACTCAAAAAGGCGTAAAACCTAATCTAAATCCAGTAACATTCCAGTCTCTTTCTCCCTTCTCTATATATATATATATATATATATATATATGTGTGTGTGTGTGTGTGTGTGTGTGTGTGTGTGTATCGTTCTTCCACCGTTTGTCGATATTAGATGTCGACTCAATCAAAATGGTGAGAAGACACAAGATCAATAGTGGAATTTTTAATCTTATTTCATCATCTTCAATTGCTCCTACGTGTGACTCAAGTTTTAATTCTTTTGTTTTGGTATGGCGCAAAAATCTCAATTTTTTATAATGCATATATATTTTTGGGAATTTTGAAAGAATCTTCAATTTTTTTCATCTAATGCAATTTTTTTGGTATGCTGCAAAAAGGTGATTTTTTTGGGTATATTGCAATTCTCTTTTGGTATGTTGCAAATAGAATTGCAAACTTTTATGATTTCGTTCTTTGTTTTGAATAATGCTCGGATCACATGATCTCTAAATAGCAAAAATTTTAATTTTAAAATACGCCTCTTAACCCGTTGGGTCAACCAGAACCCGATAACTTTGGGTCATGAACAAGCACACCTGAACCTGAAGTTACCCGAACCCCAAATAACCCGAACCTGATTATACCAAACCCGAACCTGATTATACCAAACCCGAACCTGACTTGACCGACCGTTTTGCCAGGTCTAGTTAAGAATGAACTGAGGAGTAGAGAACTAATTTTCTAATTAATATGGGAAAACCAATGCAGCACCTCTATTTATATAGATAAAACTCTAACTCTAATCAACTAGGTGCAGATTACTTTGAAAACGCTGACGCTAAACGCTACCCGTAGATAACTTTTTCAAAATGCTAACACTATTCCCAAACAGGCCCAGGTTATCTTCAAAAGAACTTATAACTCGCACGCTCACCTAATAAAAGATTGATTGCAATTGTTAAATATTTCGCTAAATAAAAAATTATAAATATTAAATGGCATTTTTAAAAATGAATTTAATGATTCAAAATTCACATTACAATCATGATAGAGCAAATTCTTTTTTAGTCCTTTATTATCAAATATTGCCATGTTGGTTTTTTATAATAGGAAATTTTTCCTATTTAGTCTTCTATTATCAAACGTTGCCCTTGTGATCGTTCTTTTATGGGTATTTTTCCATAAATAATTCTTTTTTATCTTCTGTCATGTTATTGTTAATTTGAAGACTTAATGTGTGATTTCACTATGATCATTTATCTTTCGCGTCATACACAATTCTAAAGATCGTTACTGATGCGTCGTTTGTGAATTACAGTCATTTTTTACTACAGTCATAGTCTACAGATTTGGTCTTTTATCGGAAGTCTATTACACTATCACAGTCATTATTTTTATGTTATCCATCTAATTAACATCAGAATACATCACTAGACATAAAATTGATGTCATATTATATTTCTAGTCTTCAAATTAACATCAACATGACAAAAGGTCAAAAAAGACTATTTGTAAGAAAGTACCCATAAAAGAACTACGTGGATAATAATTGATAATAGATGACTAAATATAAAAAAAGTGCTTCCTTGGTGCACCTTGGGTGCATATCATTTTTGAGAACATTCTTACATAAAAAAATCTTTTTTTATTTAGAAAAATAAATGCTTATTTAAATAGTAAAAAAATACATATTTTGCTCATTTGTAAGTCTATAGTGGACCTAAGTCCAACATAGAATTTGCCATATAGAAAACCCCTTGTCATAAAGAACTCATTATGAAAATTACTCATCATGATACTCCGTACTATTTAATAATCAAACTAAAAATTCATTTCAAAATGAATTTAATGATTCTAAATTCACATCACAATCAGATTTACTTGATGTAAAAAATTTGATTAGTTTGTAGACATAGACCGAGAAAAGTCAAGCAAAAGAATTAAGATTGGGAACAATTAAGCTTTCCACAACAAAATCACAAAAAAAAATCGTGATAACAGAAGAGAAAAACAATGCAATATTAAAAACGACCAGCAAAGCAAAATGTATATTCAGATTGCAAATAAATGACAGGGAACAAAAGAAAAACAATGCCCTCTAGCTTCTCTTGTACATGCACATACATACATTTACATATATATAAGCAATTAGTACTTTTAAAATCTCCAAAACTTTTGAAGCTGAATTGTGGCTCCTAGGCATCTCATCAGTAGAAGTCCCTCATAGATTTCAGGTCTTTTGGCAAAGAAATAGCTAGAGAACTGTGAAGTGTACAAATATTTTCTTCCTTTTTTCCCCGCTTTTCCTCGACCAACCCTGATTGATTGATAGATACATAGATAGATATACATGAAAGAAATTTGGGGGGACAATAAAGTCCATATGCCCTCATACCTCATTCCATAAAGGGTTAGTGCCAACAAAAAGGGAGTGGCATTGTTTTAGATTGATTCTTTTGAAGTGGTTGATGGTGGATCGCTATACAATTCTGCATTTGCCGAGCCCGTGTGGCCTTCTGGGCTGTTTTCTTCGCTCATGCCGGTTCTTCCCTTGCCGGGTCTTGACCTTCCATTAACACCCAGGGGGAAGGGCACCTGCATATTACAGTCACCAGTCAAGTACATCTTTCTGTCAAGCATGGGCAGCAATGGGAGTTGAGAGAATTAAACAGTTTTGGGAGAAAGAGCAATGAAAAAAAGCCTTGTGGACACAAAGAACTCTGAAGATCTAGGTTACATAACATACCTGATCACCAGCATTGGGGCCATCAGTATGGAAAAGTATGGGCCGACATCGCTTATCTTCATTCATCAAGCTAGAGTTCTGGAAGTGAGCAATTAGGGCAGCTTTTCCCTGGATGCGGGCATATGCAAGTGATGCCACCTTTTCACTATTGAATTTCTCCCACTTCTTTCCGTTAAATGACTGTCAAACAAACAATTCGTATATATTGTATGCACAAACAGAAACAAATTGGGAAAAGAGAAAAACTATAATCATAAACAAGTACTTAGTGAAGGTCGAAGGGAAGCATACTTGATGAAATGGGATGATCATGGAAGGATCAGTCATATTGATAAATGCATAACCGACATTGCATTTGTTCTGCAATAAATATCACAAATGAACTTAACAAATGAACTTAAGTCACTATTCACAAGGTCAACCAAATCATCTCTCCTTCCCTAAATGAACAAGTCACTAAATGAATCATTAGCAACCTAATCATATAATATATTATATACTCCATCCGTCCCTAAATGAACTTAAGTCACTATTCACAAGATCAACCTATATCATATCTCTTTACTTATTTAGTTTGATCATTTGATACAGTACCACGATTAGACCAGCCATATTGTATGGAACAGAGTGTTGGGCAGCAAAGGGTAAACATGAAAAGAAAGTGTGGCCGAAATGAAAATGCTTCGATGGATGAGCGATCATACACGCGTGGATAGAATAAGAAATGAAGATATGAGAGCTAAAATTAAAATGACACCTATTATAGAGAAGATGGTGGAAGCCCGTCTAAGGTGGTTTGGACAAGTAGAGAGAAGACCCATAGAGCATCCGGAGAGACGGGTTGATCAAACGGCGAATAGACATGTGGTTAGAGAAAGAGGTAGACCTAAGAAGACTTGGCACGAAGTGATCAAAGGGGACCTTCGCGTGAATGATCTTGCTGCAGATATGGTATTTGATCCATGTAACCAACCCCAACTAGTGGGATAAGGCTTGGTTGTAGTTATTGTTGTACTTGTATTTGTTAACACAAAATAGTCTTGTCACAACATGTTTTATAGAACTTATGATGTGTTTAAAATATGTAATTTTATATTTCAATTTTACACCAATATTTGAATAAATTTAATTGAAAATAAATTCATAATCGAAATGTGAAGTTTACTAAGGGACGAAAGGAGCATAATATAGACAAAACGGAGCATAGAAATTGCCTTCCATGGTCAATATTTAATTTACTTGCCTTAAAATCAATAGGTAAATAGATAAAATCATAACTCCCTCTGTGGCGTTCATCAATTGCGGCCAGAAGCATCTTTGAGGTGTACCTAGAGTTGCCATAAAGGGAAGATAGAGACACATATTAAAGCAATAACAGTAAAAAAGTACAGTCTCTAAACAAAATTCACTTCAACAATTCACAACGTCAAACTATATTTTCCTTATTTATTTATTTACATTAATCATTCGTTATAATAAAATAGTCTTGTTATAATAAAATAGTCATGTGACCTCCTATTTTAAAGATTTTTTATATACTCCATGGTTTTTAATATGTACATTATATTTTAAATTTTCACAACAATATTTAAAAAAAGTGAAAATCATTTTAGTCAAACATCATAAATTGTAATCTTGATTGTATTTAGAGATGGAGGGAATATATAAATGAATACTCGGTATATCATACACGAAACACTTGGCATGTAGAGCTATGAGGTCAGCAGCAGATTGTGAAACCAGGTGCCCGGCCTGTATATATAGCTAGCATCTACTGGTTTTACTATCGAGGTTCTACGTTACCTTTCCTCTTAAAACTTCCAATATTGAACAGTTTATTCATAGCAGGGTAGTAATTATAGACCAGCAAAAGAACTAACATATTTTAAAACCATTCAATATAGATTTCCATGAAATTAATAAATCAATTAAAGAGGTTAAAATAATGATGTATAGAACTAAGTGATCACAACATACTTGTTAGGAATGTTCTTTAGCATTAATGTTGTCCTCTTATCTTCCCCTCGCACAATTCGGTCAATGTCAAGCTCAAACTGTTTCTTGTTGTCCATTTGACTCAAAGTGCCTTCACTTCTCCTGCATCTTGACCTTCCATTGGGAGAATCAAATGTATTCATCAAAGGAATCATTTGGCCTCTTGAAGGAAACATCATACACCTCTGATGAGGTGAGTGCAACCCAACAACATTTTTGGAAGGCATGTGCAAATCCATACAATTTCCACCTCCCGTGGAGAAGATATTATGATGAGGAACAAACTCTAAAGATGGTTGCGGTGAGTTGCGAGAAATATGCAAACTACCAAGAGAACCTGGGTGGAAGACCGGTGCATCAGGAGATTCCCCCGCATATGCATTCCTTCTATCCCAGAGAGAAGGATTGAGAGATGGAGCGGATCCCACATGGTGGTGGTTCACTGGTACAACCCGCCCACTCAGCATATGAGATGGTGCTCCATGCAGTTGCGGGTGGCGTGCAGCACTAAATCCACTAACAAAAGAAGGTGAGTTTGGCCACATCATCCTTTGAGCCTGTCGCTGGGGTGAACTACTCCATGCATATGGATTCCCGGGTGATGGACACCCACCATTTCCGGAGGGACCAAAAACTGAGAAGGGGGGACTGAGAATTAGATATACTCAACATTTTGGCATCCATTTTCAGATAATACTCTTATTAGTAAAATGAATTCGTTTGTTTAGTATTCTCATCAACAATAAAATTGATGAGATTTAGTGCCCATTTGAGCCCGTCAGACTCGGGTTCCCAAGTGAATGCCCATTTGAGCCCGTCAGACTCTGGTAGGGCCCTTTTACCCCTTATCCAAGTTGGACTGGAGAAGGCTATTTATGATTTAGCAGCTTACTGTTTGCTTGGTGTTTGTACTTAATAAAATTTACTAATATGCATATTTTCCGAATTAATTAGTGTACTTAGTTTGCTGTGCTTAATTTGTAGACGACAATCCAAAGAGAAAATTTAGAAATTCATTGAAACTGACCGGTTTCGTTCAAATCAACTGAATGCCCATTTGAGCCCAGTCTACTATACTGCCTGCTATCCATATTTGTGGAGGCAATGCCCCCTGGAGAATTGGAAGGAGTTAAATTGGTTAAACCACCGTCATGATATTTGGGAAGAGAATGAGGATGGCAATTCGGCGTGCCCTTAAACTCAGTGTTCATTTGACCATGCAAGTGGCTGTTATGACCATTCATTGATATCCCATGGGTGATGGTTTTGTCCATATACTTGGTACAAGAAGATCCACCTGCTAACTTCACAGCAATATTTGTCCCACTGCCTCCCATGCTAGATGGGGTTCCACCGATTCGATGGGAACCATCTTCACCAAGGTCCATCCCTCCAACACTGCTAAACAGGTCTAGATCCTCTATATCATCCGTGGTTTGGTGAACACAATCGATCCCATCTGTAACTCCAGAGAGCAAGTCATCATCATCGGGGAGAAGATTCCCAATGGTTTGAGCCTCAAGTTCTTCAAGGGATTCTAAAGGTTCCTCGTCCTGATAGTGTGAGGCAGCTGCTACACCAACAGAGTTTCCATGAGGAAAACTGTTCATTATTTCTTGCACTGCATTAAAGTTTCCAATATGTCAATAAAATGTCTCATTTATTTAAAAGAAATAAAAACTTTTTATTGAACTTTTAAGAATAAGTTCCAAGAATGAAAATATGAGGGCATTTAAAAGATCAGTCACATCAATCACATTTAGGTTAGTAAATTGATGCATTGGTTTTGAGGGGGGTAGACTTACAGTTTTTACTAAACAACTCTGATAATGAGCTAGAAAAAAGACCATTCTCATGTTGAGTCCCCATTGAGTTAACTTTGTCACCTTCCAATGAGTAAAATGCAGATTCTGTATTCAAACTAGATTGTGTGCCTATATCACTATTAAGAGTTCTTGGCAAAGAATAGCTGGCAACTTTTGGTGGTCCAATTGCATGCTTCTGTATGATAGAGTTTGCTTTCTGCTCTTTGCTTATTTTAGAATCAGGAAGATCAAATCCCTTAGCCATCTGAGAACCGATGGAAAACTGGTTCACATGGGGTGAAGAACCACCTCCTCTGAATGTTTCTTCCATTCTCACACCTATGAAAGGCAATAACTTACAGTCAAGGCTTTTAAATCACATTTATAGTTTTAGACCTGAAACAAAAGGCTTGCCTTGAGAAGCAACAGTCATGAAGAAGAAACATAAAATACTCTGTAATACTTTATCATCAAAATCCCCCTCCACCCCAAAAATGAGTGTGTCAAGATAGACACCTTGGCTGGCAGTTAAATAGCCTATGTTAAATATAGTACTTCATGCATTGCTTTGATTTTCCAAAAGTCTACTTTTAACATTTCAGTACGGTGATTGGAAAAATGTGTCACTTTCTCTCTCGCTCTCATCCTTTTAACCACAGTCTAAAGTGAAAACGAAGCGCTAGAGATTACTTTGTCATCAGGAAAACATAAAAGATCACTTTCTCAGCAGGAAAACATAAATCTAATACGTTTACTGGGAAAATCGAAGCACATTAACAAAATAAATTGGTACAAGTCTAAAATTGGAGGTTAGTTGATAAATTAAAAACTTATGCAAGATTGCAAACACATCAGGTGCAGCAGTGCAGTGGAGGGTGTAGTTTTAGAAGCATATATGCTGCAAAGAAAGACAATTGTAAAAGAAGGTCAATCATGTGGTCCATTGCCGCAGGATTTGCAGCAACGGACAGAGCCTGAATTTTGTCTTAGAATATTACTACTCACCATTGTAATTGGGTAGGATATCCGACTTCCAAATTGAAACCGGCTTCTGCCAAGTATGTAAAAGAATAAACTGGTTATCAGAGATAACAATGCGGGAAATAACAACCCCTCTTACAGCTAAGTTTCACATGCCCCAAAAGTTAGGACTACAGACTCTGGGCAAACTGAGTTCCATGGTATTAAGGATGTACATAAATGAGGGAAAAGGAATTGCACAAGAAGAGAATACCTCATTGTGAAAGCATAACTCCTCCGAGAAGAAGGACCTTGGAGATAAACTGTGAGGATCCATCATCTGGAATGGCATTATGCAAATTGGATCTAGAAGGCACTACAGAAACGATGAGAGAGTTGCACCTTTAGATCCCACCAGAGCACGTATAAGACAATCTGTAAGGAAAGGAAAAAGAAAAGTGTTTAACTTCAAAGGTTGGAAATCAATTTCTTCATCCCATAACAGTTCAAAAGTTGGAAATCACTTCAATGACAACATAAAAAAGAGCATCAAGTCTGGAATTGTTTCCCTTTAGAGTTTAGAGTTGGTGTTTTCACATTTTAATCACTAACTGACAAAGAAATGCCCTTCAGAGAAATCCTAATATAAGTTCTTCAATCCCCTCCAGAATCAAAAACATCAACTAACCAACTGACAGAAAAGCTATACGAATATACCAATCAAGAAGACGGTAATATAAGCTTCAGAACAGGCATAAACTCATTCAATTGATGCGGTGATCGTGCATTGCAAGTGTCCAAACACGTAAAAATTGGCAAACTTCAATCGCGATCAAAAGATCAAAGGCCAAAGTGCACAAATGCTTCAAAGTTGGGTCACATAATTTGCACAAACAAGGAAGATTCAGAGCACCCACCTTTCTGCAATTTGAGTTCCAACCCCGAGGGCACCAAAAACCAGAGGATTGAAGGAAGAAGAAGAAGAATCAGAAGAGAGAAAAATGTACAGATAGAGAGAGGGAGATGCAATAGCACAGGAGATTATATAGGAAGACAAAACGGAGTGAGGCTTAAGAAATTAAGGGAGAGAAAAATTAGAATAAATTACGGCAAAAGGCAAGGCAGCAAGGATGGGAGATTGAACAAGAGATCTAGGTTTCTGTGCCGTGCAAGAACCTCCAAACCTTCGATTCCTTTCTCTCTCCTCTGATTTTTCCAGCATTGCACGTTATCCGCATGAATTCCATGAATTTATATACACATCCGATGATGAATTCCCGCTCGGAGCAATCTGCGCCGGCTTCTTCTTCCTCCTCCTCCTCAGAACATCCGCATTTCTCCGACCGGCGGCTCTGAATTTCCCGGTGAGCGCCGGCGGCGGAGTTCCGATCCCTTCTCTCTCTTGCTTCTTCTAGAGAGGGAAAAAAGTAGTAACAAAATTCAGAGAGAGAAATAATTGGGAAGAAAATGGAAAATCCGGAGACTGAGCGGCCTTTGATTAAGTGTTGAAACTGACCGCAAAGTACAAATCTTTTTATGATTATTATTCAGAAACGGAAAAAGAAAAAGAGAAATTAGAAAAAGAAAAAAAAATCGGAGACCGGAAGACCAAACTCCGAGAAAAACTCCGATGAGCCTAGCAATCAGTGAGGAGAGAGGAGAGAGAAAATAATAAAAAGAAATACCTATAAAAATGGCTAAAAAAGAAAACTGAAACGAAGCAAAACTACACGCAACAGACTTTAAAAAGCATGAGAAACGACGGTGCATTGTGTGGGCCGGTAGCCGTTAAAGTGATAAAAACGGACGTTAAGTCCTAATCCAATTGAAATCTCGGGTTTGGGACACAGTCTTGTGGTTTGTTTGCATTATTATTATTGCGTCATACTTAGACCTGGCAAAACAGAACCAGAATCGATTACTCAAACCGAAATATCTGAAACCGAAACCGGAATGACCCGAAAAATAAAGATACGATCTATAATCGAAAATCCGAAATGATCCGAATCGAACCGAAACCGAACTAAATAATTCATATCCGATTTAAATCCGAAATCGATTAGATCCGAAACCGATAATATCCGAACCGATTAAACCCGAAACCGATTAGATCCGAACCCGATAATACCCGAAACGGATAAAATCCGAAACCGATTAGATTTGAAACCGATAGTATCCGAACCCGATTAGAACTAAAATCGATAAATATAATTCAGAACTATGTTTGCCTTTCAATAAGTATATTATATTTTTAAATTTTTACTTTTATTTTACCATTTGAACTAATTATATTACTTGCTCATTCCCTCATAAAATGGATTATCTTCTTGAAAAAAAGTACAAAATTTTATGACTTAAATTTATAATATGTAAAAATTAAAGATAAGTTATACATATAAATGATAATGCACAAACAAATAAAATTTACGTAATTTTTAAATAGTGAAGTGTGATATTCTTTTTGGGATGAAAGGAATATATGATGAATTGTATGGAATAACTAGATTTTATCCTAATTTCATCTCATTACAATAAATTTTATTGATTTGAGAGTTAATTTGATTAGTTTCAAACCAATTCACTCAATATTAGTCAATAAAATTAGATGCTAGTGTTAGCATTTTGAAAAGACTCTCTAGCGGCAGCCTTTACTGTTATCATTTTCAAATTTGATTTACACCATTACATTTAGGTGTAAAATTAATTATATTTGACTCTATTAAATTTAATTTTCTCTATTTTCAACCAATTGAATACAATTCACTTAATTTCACCCAATTTTACTCAATTTTTTACCAAATTGTATTCAAATGGAACATAAGACTATTTGAATTTATCTTTTATCCTTTCATTTATATACATAAGTATATTAGTAGATGTGAAAAAAAATTGATATTTCAAAACTAAATTTTAAAATCAATTTAATTATATTAAATTTATATCATAATTAAATATATATGTTTTCATAATTTGTAGTCCAAATTTGTAAAATATAACTAAAAAGTCAAAAGCGGAGGATTATTTAGGGTAGAGATAATAAAACTAGAAAAAAATATAAAATAATATGAGGTATTGAATTGATGATAGATTGATAAATGTGATAAAACATAAAAAGAAGCACGGATAGTTAAATTTTAATTAGAAAATAATATATATCCAAAATAAATTTGATCCGAAACCGAAATATATCCAAACCGAACTAGACCCGAAACCGAAATATATCCGACTCAAATTGTATCCGAACCGATTTATAACCGAACCATATCTGAACCGACTCGAAACCGAACCAAACCGAAAAATGTAAAGAACCGAAATCAAATCCGAACCGAAATTTAACCGATCCGAACCGAACCCAACCGATTATAACATATAACCGAAAGATGTCCGAACCGAAAAAATCCAACCCGAAACCGATCCGGTTGATCCGATTGCCACCTCTAGTCATACTTATCATCATTTTTATTATTTTTTATAAAATCTTTTTGGTATTATTTGTACTCCATATTAATTTATTATCTTTTGATAGACTTGTGGTTTAGTGGCGTAATGTTGATTTACATGTTCCGTTTTGAGTAGAAGTAATAACTCTGAGTGTTTAATGAGTTAAACATGTATGAAGAGATACTACGTTATGCTAGGGATGTAAACAAATCAAATACTTTTAGTTCGATTCGTGATTTGTATTCGAATATAATGATTCGAATTCGCATTATTCAAATACAAATTCAAATTCAAATATCAATTTTGATTCGAATATTAAACAAATACAAATACAAATAGGAGTATATTCGATTCGGGTGATATTCGAAAATTCGAATATATGTATATACACACAAACCATGTCTCAAGATCAATATAGTCAAGTAAAGTAATATAGATAAATTATTAAAAATTCAACAAATTAACGTAACACCAAAATCTAAAGCATATAATTTTTAATAGTTATATTTTATAAAATATAATTTGTGTGATGTGAAAGTGTATTAATGTTTTTAGATAAAGTATAAGAAGTATTGTAAGTTAAATTATTCAAAATCTATGTTGGTCTATCATATAAATTACGCAGTATGATTATTAAAGTATTCGTTTAGAATTCGTCAAGTATTCGAATATTAATCAAATACAAATTCAAATCTTATTTTTAATTCGTCTCATATTCGGATTCGTATTCGTATTCGAAAAAATTAAGCAAATACAAATTCAAATATCTTGATATTCGCTTCGATTCGGTTCGTTTACACCCCTACGTTATGCTATACGGAGCAGTAATTAGTGTTTTAAAAAATTAAGTTTTGGACAATTTTGAAATTAAACTTGGGATATCTCACTTTTATAGGATAATTCATTACCCCAATTTTAAAATAAATTTAACATGCATCCAACGTCTTGGACAGTGAATATTGAACGCAAACTCTATATTGACACTACAAAAAACTGTTAAAATCGCGATGGAAAAATTTCGTCGCCAAAGGCTGATTTCCGTAGGTAAAAGGTGTGACGACGGAAATAACGACGGGTTTTTTTCCGTCGTTAATTTTTCATTAGTATTAAACTTACTAGCGATGGAATTGTTCCGTCGCTAATTTTAACGACGGTGACCGTTATTGCAATCTGACCACATAGCGACGGAATTGGTATTCCGTCATCGATTCCATCGCCAATTTGACAGCAATTGCACAGAAAACTGCAATTTTTTCAATTTCACACAACAACAACATCAACATGCTATAAATCACAACACAGCACCAAACAATCATCAAATACTAGAAATGAAGAGTACCAAACAACCAAAAATATTCAAATCACCAAACTACAATTAAAATTTAAATAATATTTATAAAAATTCATCGTAACAAAGAAATCTAACTCCACTAGAATCATGACCAGAATCGTAATCAGAATCTAGAAGTATATTTTCGGCTAGACAAACTGAAGAAAGATTGTTGGGAAAGAGATGTGTCGGCACTGAGAGGAGGATGGGAGAAGACTTGATGTGGATAGACTCCTACTGGTGATATCGAAAGAGTGAGAAGTATTATTAATATTATTATTCAAATAAACAAATTTGTTTCTGATTAAAATAAATTATTGTTGGACTTTGGGCAAAATTTGAAGATATTTGATATCTAATATCGTGACTTTAGATGAATTTAAAATGCAGATTGAATGTATGGTCTTAATTAAAGACAAGAGTAGAGACCTATACTAAGACTTAATTGTTTGATTGATGTGAACTCTTGAATGATTTATTGAAATAAATCATTATATTGAATAATACAAATTTAATATGAGAATATTATGAATAAAAGATTAATTTAATTAATTTTGACTCTGTCAAAGTCAAACAACCAAAAATATAATGTCAGAAGAAGTATTTCAAATAAATGTGAAAAATATATATTTGCATAGAGTTTGATTGTCTAATTGCGACAGTGCAATCGAATTTTAATTCGGAGAAAATTGGGCAAAAAAGTGTATCCCGATTGGGACCAATTTTAGTCCCAATCACGGAGAGTTGTATGCAACCCTTCAATATCAGACTTTCGCCGATCATGAATCACGAAGAAGGTTACATATCTGGCTTCTTCCCCTTCACCATGGCTATATAACGATACACATGCTCTATCCATTCTTCACCGAACTCCTTCATTTCTTCTTCTATTTTGTTGCTCTGAGTGTGGAGAATGCAGTGGTGCTATCCGGAGAGCTTCAAGTTGCCGGAGTTGGCTGTAATCTTTGCCGGAAGTTCCACCGGAAATTTTCCAAATCCCTCATTTAAGCTTGAAGTAAGCCCTTAGTTATATCTAGTGATTAGAATGTTCATATATATCATTTTTACATTTATAAATGATCATTTGGTTGAGTTATGAGCTATAAAAATGAAAAATACATTTTTGAAGAACCGAGAATTATAAACTTTCAGATTGTGGTTAAAGCTTCGAATTAATTGTCTAAAAATGGTCTATGGATGTTAGAGAACATATTTGCAAAGTTAAAATAAAGTTTAGAAGCTTAAAATGGTGTTATGGAAGTTTCGGCCGAGGTTGAAGACGACACTGTACAAAACTCCTGCAAAAATGGTACCTGGATACCGTCTAGACTGTACGAAGATACCACCCACACGGTAGGCCATAGCGTTAGTGACGGTAGCTAGCTACCGTCACAAGCAAAATTTCTCAGGTGGCACCCTATACAGTCTAGACGGTACTAAGGTACCATGACGATACCCTGGTACCGAGATAGGTACCGTCTGACTCGGAGATTCTTCCCATAACCCTAATTTTTGAGCTGTAAAGTCCTATTTTTGATATCATTCAATTATAAATCAGTATGAATAACATTTACAAACTAAATACGATATTTTGATGAATTTAAGAATCCTATTTGATGCATGACAGTAAGCTAGGGTGTTACACTCGACGCTAGGCCACTATTTGTTATTAAATATTATGATGATTGTTATTGATTGTTGATTATGACGATTGAGGCTTGATTAAAATAATATCTAGATTTAAATGATGGTCATGAACGATTAAGGCTATCTTGAAGAACTCTAAGATAGACCCCATGTGACTTAATTAGTTTAGGCCTTGCGGGTATGATTTCTAGTGGCCTAGGTTAAATGTACGTACAGGATCTACTATACAAACCAAATTAGAGGATAACTTGTTTGGGGATACCACTCACCCAATAGTGGGTAGTCTGTTGTTTGGTTTTTTGAGCGTGACCTATAAGACTTGTAGAATAAGTCATGATTTTGTGTTCTGCCTTAGACTAAGAATAGTTTGCATTAAAAAAAGAATAGTTTAATAGCTTTGTGATCAATATGAATTTGGCCTAAGACTAAAAATAGTTTAAGAACACTGTTGACATTATGAATATTGAATAATTGAAATGAATATTATGTGCATGATATTAAATGATTTTATTATTAATTGAGATTCAATTTATGTAGATGTTTGATGTATTAGATATCCTTACTCAGCTTCCACGTTGAACGTGTAGTATGTTTTATTTGTTACACATAGTTAAACAAAATAAAGAATGATGTGATTGATCTTGACGGCAGATGGGGATACAAGATGTCAGATGGATGTGTGAGGGTTTTGAACTATTTAATAATTATTTCAAAAATGAATTATTGATTGTGATGTAAAACTATTTATTAAGCTTCCACAATTTGATAAACATTGTTACTGTTTCTAAATATTTTATGATGATGATATAAAGTTTCAACTGTTAAAATGTTTAAAATTTTTACATTACCAAGTCAATACTTAAGTTTTAAAGGGATCCAGAGAAGCACATAGGCGGTGATGGTGACGATATGATCTACTGACTAAGCAGGTTGAGGTGACGATATGATTTACATTAAGATCTACTGATTAAGCAGGCTGAGGTGACGATATGATCTAAAATCACAAAGCGGTGCTGATGGATCCAGAGAAGCACATAAGCGATTATGGGGGGTGGTTATAGGAGGAGAGGGGTCCTGCATGGGTTGGGGACTTGTCGGCGTCTGCTTAGTAACAACAACTACGAGAGATAAACATTATGGTTAACATTGGGAAGTGTTGACTTAAAAAACTCAAAGTTGCAAAGATTTTTGTCAATCTTTTGTGATGATCTAGAGTGATTTCTGGTTGACTAAAGGGTTTATTTTAGAGGGTAATATGAAGACATTAAGATCGAAGGAATGAAGAAATAGTGGGAGTGAGATTTTTGTCGCTGGATAAACCACCAGTGACAGCAGCGGCGGAAGCGGAAACTATCAGGTCACCAAGACAATGTGTTTATTGTGATATACAACTGAGTGAATAACAGGTAATACAAGGCAATGTTTATATAGGTGGAGGAATATGTTCTAGAATCCTCCACATTAATGGCTAATAATATATAGTAACACTTCTTTTGCCCCACAGTATGCATCTAATTTGACTGTTTTGAATCAATTTGACGAATTTTAATCGTCAATTACTCTTAATTTGTATTACAAATTAATACAATAAATCAAGTTTTGAAAATCTTCAACAACAACATTTAATAAAATCATTTTATACTAATATACATTGTAATTCTTATTTAATTGAGCTCCAAAGTCGTACCATTTGATTCATAAAAAGTCAAACTAGATAAAAATAGTGAGACGAAAGTAGTATTACTTAATAATAGCACTACTTATAATATGTAATAACCATAATTATAAGGAAGAAAAACCAAAATAGAACTCTTAGAGCCTTAAAATACTCTAAATAGCAGTGCTATATGTTTCGCACATGTGATTCCAATTTTGTCTTTTAATTAAATAGCAAATATTCATTACACACTGCTAAAAATATGACTGTTTTGGGCAGTGTGGTTGTTCACTTGTAATTGTGTAGTTGGTAGTGTGGTTTTTTATATGTGAGTATTTAGTATTGCAGTGTAGAATGGATATCTGTTGTTATATCTTACGGCAGTGTGTAAGTTATTGTGTTCCTTAATTTCATGTTGGAGTGTAATGTCCATTGATTTATGTGGCAGTGTTTTTATGTATAAATTCTACATTGTCAAAAAGTGTATGACTGTTTTCATGTATGAATTCTACACTGCCCAAAAATGTATAGCGCCTCTTTTTATGTATGAATTCCACACTGTTTTCATGTATGAATTTCACACTGCCAAAAATGTGTATGATTGTTTTCATGTATGAATTCCACATTGCCCAAAAATGTATGACTTGAATAATCTATTACACCAAAACACACTGGCCAAACATGGGATATGCAGCTTAATTTAATACGTGCGAACTTATTTGGGCATTATACATTGGTAAACTGCGTAGAAGGAGGATCTCGCAGAGCTATGGTAAACGTCGTAGGATGATGTTCTCGTACGTATGAGATGCACGAATGAGGAGGAGTCGCACGTATGAGAAGGAGTGACTACGTGAATAACCTAAGTTTAATCAAATAATTAAAAGTAATTAAAAATATTAGAGTATAATAAAAAGTAGAGGGTATGCTTGGAAAATATTGACACTATAAATAGCTAAATTCGTATAAAAGATTAAGGAGTGTTATATGCATAATATTGAGTGACTTGGAGTACTACGTATGGTAGGGTGATTTCTTTAATTATAATAGATGTCTCTTTAATAAATATTATCTACTCCCTTCATTCTAAAATGAATTACCGTTATCGATCAAGATGCAAAATTTTTAAAATGATTTTATTTACAAATTGATACTGAAATTAAAAATAAAAATTATATATTTAAAAGCTAACCCGAAATTCTACAAAACAAGAGGTGACAAGAATATTTTATGTTATCAAATGATCAATGAAAATATGCATACAAATAAAAATTATCGAGAAGTCGTAATAATAAAGAGAAATAATTTTGGAACAAAAAATATTAATTTGAGGCCTAGTAGTCTATACATTTTTAATGTTATATTTATTTTATAGTTCCTTCGTCTCTAACTTAGAGTGACATTTGAAGTTACGAGGAAAATTGAAATATCTTCTTAATTCATTTATTTAAAATTTAATATCAAAATAAAGAAAATTTGATTCGTGTCAATTTAAATTATCTATTTTGGTTTACAACATTTGACTGAAATTATTTCCAGTTCAATTTATATGAAAATTGGGATATAGTTAAAAAATAAAGTTTACATATTTAAAAATACATAAAAGTTTTACTCCGAACAAAACAAGAGATGGCATAAGTATTTTAATTTATCAAATGAATAATGACATAAGTACAAAAAATCAATAAATTCTAACCCTATGAATAGTACTCTATACTAAACAAACATTTTAATTTGAGACAAAAGGTTCACATTTTCTAAAAGTATACTCCGTAGCAAACAACGGCCTCCATAAAAGAAAAGAAGACATGAATTTCATTTAATTGAGGACAAAAATGTCATTTTCTTCTAGTGTTTTTCCTTTTCACTATTTCATCCAAGCAAACAAAAAGAACAATTTTTTTTTGCTTCCTCTTTTTTACCAAATAAACAAAAAGAACAAATTTTCCTTGCATCCAAATCTACCATTGAAAATGAAAATCTTTCAAACTTCTTTCCTTTTCATTCTTTCCTCTCAATTGTCTTTCTCCTTACCACACATAGCCTTAAAAAGCACTTTTTTCTATAAAAAGAAGTGAGCTTTCCATTCTGGAAGTGGTCAATGAATGTAATACAAAAATCCTCTGCAAGCTCTAATTAAATTACATTACCACCAAAATGGATTTAAAAAAAAAAAACTCTGAGAGACCTGAGCCTACGATCCCGCTGAGTGGCTTTGACAAAAAAAAAAAAAACTAATGGGAGAATGACAAACCAATCATTTTAACCAATGAATTGAATGGTTGTGAGTTTTGTGAGTTAGGTGTGTTTCCTAGCACGGCCATGGGAAGGTGTTGGGGCATCGTCTCTCTTCGAAGTGGACCCCGCCTCCGGTTTCTTTGCCCAAGCCGGGGCTCTATCTGGGTCATATCGGTAGTCGTAGAACAGTTCTTCTCCTGCGCAGATTCTTTCGTTCGCAAATATTCCAACCCTGTGGTCTCCGGCCACCATGAGGACCTATCAAAGAATTACCCCAAGCAAGAAATTACCAAAAGAAAGAGAGTAAATTCTGTAATTGGTCCTTTTAAACGGGGGATTTTCCATATTTGGTCATCTATTATCAAATATTTAATGCACATCCAAATTGACATTCTGTCGTGTTGGTGTTAAACTAAGGGCTAAAAGTGTAATTTCACATCGATTGGGATTAGGGGACCCAATGATTTTATTACCTTGGCATAACAATTTGGATTTGGGGAATGGTTGGCAAACTTCAACTTGTCGCCCTTTCGAAAAGCATCAAGCACAAACTATGCAATCAAAATGGTGTTAATTAGTAAAAAAAAGATGGGTTTTAAATAAAGGATTAGAGATCTGTTCAAGATGGGAAATCATTATCGATCGTTGCCTGATTGTTTAGATTGAAGAGGAACGAAGAGTTTTCACGATCATAGATCTTTCCACGCTTATCAGCTTCACGGTGGGAGATTAATTCCCCAGTGTACTCCCCAAGGTATTCATGCTTGCTAACACTATTCTGAAAGTATGGGGAAAAAATTAAGATCTAACAATAAATGTTAAACAGCAGCATCCTTAGTATTCACCTTTATGAAAGCTCCCCATCCAGATACATCAGATCTTCCAAGAAGAATCTGTACATTAAAAATTCAATCATATTATTATTACATTGACAGATAATATGGAAACAATAATGATTTTGATATAAAGAATATGTTACTCTTTGCTGTTGTTTGAGGAGTAGCTTCATATTGCGGCATTCGTAGTTATCACCTCTTTGTAAAGGAATCCCAAGTGACCCATCACCACAGCTGCACAGTAAAAACAAACAGTATAATCAGTTCCTAAAGTATGCAACAGTAACAAAATTTAACCCCCTAGCCATATGAATCTTAAGATGTTTCTTAAGTGTACCTGAATCTTATATTGTATTCCCTCCGGCCAACTACTTTTGTCCCGTTTTACCTTTTTTGTGTGTCTCACTATTTCTGTCTCATACCGTATTTGGTCATAATTATGTGATTCATATGCATTCTCACTTTATCTTACTTTTTAACATCAATATGAACCACACAATCTTACTTTTATTAATCTCCATGCCACTCCCTCGTGTCCCAAAAAAGTGGGACAGAAGGAGTTTTGCATTGAATCTTACGAATCCAAATTGTGATACGATACAAAAATTTAAAATTTTAATAGTTAGAACTTAGAAGTATATCCTCAAAAATACTACTCCCTCCACCCTGCTATTTCAAATTAGGAAAAGGGGAATTGTGTGGTTAATACTAGAGTTAACAAATAAGAAAAACTAAAAATGAGTGTGGGTCACACAAAATTTACTAAATAAGGTACTCCCTCCCCAATTTAAGTTGTCTGTTTCGGTTTACGATGATTGACTAATATTATTTTCAAAACAATTTATTTGAGAATTTGTGTAAATACAGCATCAAATTTCTGATGGAGTCAAAATTTCACCATTTTTGGCTTTGGGGTGTGATGGAATAAATCAAAATGGATCTCTAAACTATCTGCGCTTCTTTAATTAATGAAGTAGCAGTTAGTCAAACACTGCAACTTTCGATGTTGAGCCGGGGGTCTCTTTGGAAACAGCCTCTCTACTTTCGAGTAGGGGCAAGGTCTGCGTACACACACCCTCCCCAGACCCTACTCTTGTGGGATTTTGTACAGCATCAAATTTCTACAATTCAAGAGGTGACATGACTACATTATTTTATCAAATGAGTGACCAAAATAGGTAAAGAAAGTGGTTAAAATTTGACCATGTGAATAGTAAACATGCAATTTAAACTGGGCATAGGGAGTAAGAGACAAAAAAAAAGTGGGGCACACAAACATGTTAAAAATGATACTTACTAATGTTGATCTTGGGGATAATGAGCATGACGAGACCACATAGGAATGTAGGGGATGAACCAGTAAACTGGCAGTATCAACATGCCTTGTGGACATATATGACCTTTTTGTTTTGATGTATGACACTATCATAATATCATTATGCCTTAGATTTAAAAATATTTTGAACTTTGAAGGTCAAATATGATATCACAACATATAATGTTTTCTAGTACCACCTATTTTTTACTAAAATATACTGCATAGTATAAATTTTTTGGTCATGTATCTTACTATATATTCAAAATATGATTGGAGATTCACAAAAGAGGTCTAACATTCATGACTTGAATCTCGATTTAACAACCTTGGTTTAAACCGATAATAATTTACTTAAATGATTTTGGGAAATTAACAAACTGGAAGAAACATGGTTGAGAAGGTATATAATAGCAGAGTCAAATAAGTATATCAGTAAGTGTGCTCACCCAATCCAGCAATTGCGGCAAACATCGGGATCACATTCCCTGCCAGCAGCAAAACATGGGCATTGACGGCTTCGACACTGACTCTTAGCACAGTGACATCCTCTGAAACGATTCTTGCAAGTCTTCGTGCATCTACAAATAAAAGTATAAGAAAACATTTGAGAAGCATTTATTGGTACATTATAGAGAGAAAAAAGAACGAAAACAACAAAAAAACACAAACAATTTCACCATAGGACTGAACTTGGCATCAGTATTTAGCCAGAGAATTCTAGGTCCACAATTCAAGTCCCAAGATACTTGGTAAAGTCAAAATGTAGAATAATGTTTTTTTATGGAAATGTAAAAGGTGTCCATTTCCAATAGAGCTAAAAAGTCAGTTTTGACAATGTTTAACTTCAAGTAAATAATGGTGCCATATTAAACTTCTCTTGCTTCTTACTTTCTATGAAGTTTGGGACAGTAAAAGGTTCTAACAGATATTGGCGGATCCAGAAATAGTAGTGACTACGGGACCTACTAAGAGTAGTACAGGTCCGGACCACTGGCCCCAAATCATTTTTTTAAACAATTTGAAATGAAAAAATAATGAATAAATTCCATCTAAACAAATAATTAAAATGAAATATTCTAAAAATAGAAAAATATATAAGTTTAATTATCATATTTTAAATTTATTATTTTCAGATTATATGTAAACAATTTTTTTGGATTAAAAATTTGTTTTTGGACCAGGGGTGCACTTTTTTTTACCGGGGGCACTCTTTTAATTTACTGATTTTTTTAATGCTATATACATTTTAAAAAAAATCACTAGCCCCCCCACCCCCCCACCCCGTATGTTGTGCTGCTGCTGCAACAAATACACTCAAATGGTGTTTGGCTTGGAATAGGGCTTGGTCTTGGATGTAACATGGACAAATTTCAATCTAAAACATTTCTGGATCTAGAAAACAATTAGCTTACCCACAATATTTTTCACAGCAGGTTCCATTTACAATACAAGGACACTCCTTTCCACATGGAGATTGACAACCGCAAGGATTATATTGACGACAAGGTTCATCCTTCTTCTCAGATATCCGCTTCCTTATTGCATGGTATCCTGCTGATTTCCACGTGTATTTTAAGCGACGGACTCTACCTCTCCTGCGCAAGAATCTTGATCTTCTACGTGCTTCACTACCCTAGTAAAAGTTCTCAAAAAAATTAACACCGGAAAAGTAAATAAATAGAATTCAAAAGAAATGTCAAACTCAAAATGACGTATAAATGCATCAAAAATATCAAATTTGAATACTAACCACAATTTCATCACTCTTGGAACCACTTTCAAGCATGCAGTCTACTCCATCACCTGCTCGAGTAGATAGCTTATTCTTAGTCCTATTCATGTACTGGAAAACTTCCAAACATGTCCTCTGACCATTCAAGAGATTTCGAGCAATCAAACAGCTGTGCAACAAAAAAAAAAGTTCTTGCAGGATGATTGATGATAAACAAATTGATAAAACAAACAAATCCACAGCTACTTTTTTTACATTAATAGCTACTTCTACCATCATAGGTTGCCACTAGCTCAAGTAATTATATAATGAAAGAAAAGTGTTATACCCGAGCCTAGCCCCATGAAACTCTCACTCACGCCTTACACTATCATAAGAACCAAAGGACTTATATTCAAATATTATGATCCATTTTAGTTGAATTCAAATGGTCCTTAAACCCGAAAGGCCAAAACAACCTCCGTTTGACCCGAGGGTTCTGTGGTCTACTCCCATTTCAGTCCAAACCATCCCAAAACATCCAAAATATTTCCTTTTCAAAATAAAGTTTTTCCTACTCTTATTTTAGCCATGGCCGAAAATAAGAGTGTATAAACCAAAACCTTTTTGTTTGTTGTTATTTTCCTTCTTTTAAGCCTTTTAATAAACCAGTAAAACCCTCTCTTCCTTCCTTTCATTCCCTGCCCAAATAAACCTCACAATCCCAACACAACACCGACAAAGAGCCAAAACCATGACCCACCTCCAGCCCCTACTTCCTGCCCATGTTTTCCCTCACAGTAACCCAAAGCCATAACTCCAAAATACCCATAAATAATACCCAGCCCTGACCCCTTTTAATGACCAAAAACAACCCCTCTTTTATTCCCCAACATTGACCAACCATTGTCCTCCTTGTGTCTCCTACCTAGGCTGAATAAACAATAACAAAAGGACAAAACACTTTTGTGAGTTTAT